ATATATATATATATATAAATGTGATGTTTAATAGTTTGAATATATTAAAATGATCATATAATACATCATCATATAAATCTTATACAATTCTGTATGAATAAAACATAAGAAAATATGGAATTATTTATTTCATTTTTAATTTTATTATTAATTTATTAATTTTTAGTATTTTTTATAATAGATGAATTAAAATACATTTGCACCAATACTATTTTGAATTTATTCAATGCTGATTTTGTTAAAACAATTTCTTTTTTATTCTTATTAATATTCTTATTAATATTTATTTTGGAAATAAATATTGGCTGATCATTCGTACTATTTGCGAAAGAAAATCTCCCACGAAATTTCAGATTCGATCACATGTGACGCACATACCGAATCGATGGATTGAGATAGACTATTTCAATGGAAATAAAATTGTGGATTCCTACGTAAAAAAAAGTTTAGTAGAAAATTATTGTAAAGTTAATAAAAAAATTAAAAAAAAATGTTCGTCATAAGAATGCATCAGATCGATATTTTCGGATTTTCTTACTCTTACTTAGTGTTAGAGAAATTTTCAAAACATTTTGAAATCGATGATCCAAATATGATTTTTGGATTTTTATGGATCTCTAAGATGACAAGGATGCGTTTGTTTTTTCATGCATTTTTTTTTCGAGTTTTTTATTTGCATATCAAAATATAAATTTCTTATATCACAATTTTATATATAAAATATATATTTTAAAGAAAAAGAAAAGTTTAAGAAGTTCTGTGATCAAATAACTTTATAAAATGATTATATGTTTACACATAGTATATGAGACAGACTTGCTATAAAGATGACATTTGTTTTACTTTAATTCTCTCTCTCTCTCTCTCTCTCTTTGCATCTTGCTTATCATACGTTGTATATGAAAACGTGCGATATCTGCATATGTTTGTGCGTTTATCGACATTTCGTGTATATTTTATAGATAAGTAAAGTATTGTATTGATTTGACAAAAAATTTGCATTATGATGATAGATTTTTGTGATAGAATATATATTTTAGTTATAAAATTCATTGAATACACAAGTAGGTATATTTGTACGTATATTTCCGCAAAATAACTTCATCTACATTAATGAGCATTAAAATTACACGAATCGATAGAAGGATGGCTCGATGGTATATCGAGATGAAGAAGAAGACACTGATAGAGGCGATCTGGTAGTAGAATAACAAATATTCGCAAAAATCGTTTTCTTATCGAACGATGAAACGATGGAGTATTCGTCGATAGGCGTGTTTGATGATTGGTCGTGCAGGTTGTGCCAATGATGCGTTGTCTGGTTTGGTAAGGAACATGCTTGGATAATCATCGGCTTTCCGAACTTGGTTCGGGTGGGGAGCATTGAAGTTTTCAGGCTACGAGACACGTCGGTGACGTCATCTCAAAGCTGGGCCAGCCATAACCTTGGACAATACGCGAAATAAATTCTCTTATGTGTGATTTTTATCTTGAAAAAAGCACACGTTCGTACAACGTGATTTCCGTTATTATTTTTTTTCCTTCTCTTGTCTGTTGAAATCCAAGCTGATTATGCAGTACATTGGGCGATAATTGGTGAATAATTAATGCGTTTAGATTCTTTACGAAATAATGCGAATTGTAAAGTTCATCGAAATATACGGTTTTAATAATATGTACTAAAAATAGATAGAGAAAAAGATTGGAACAAGTTTACAAGTGTTTATTTCAGGGAGAAATCAATGTTGAAAAATAAAAGTAAAAATGGAAAAAATGCGTTGAATTGTTGATGAAGGTAAAAAGATTTAAAAAGTGAAAGAGCGTCGCGCCGTTCTAAAATTAGATTATAGCGATAGTCTCGATGTTGTTATGCTGACTCGTTATGATATTATTTTTTTTTTCATTGGGTAAACTTGCTGCAAAATCGGAACATAATTGTTACCGAAGCTCTGGCCTTGACCGCGACCCAGGGTCTTCATCCTCGGGATATCGATTCGTTCTCTCAACTTCTAATTCTGTATCCACCTGTATATAGCTGTAATATTGCTACTCCGTGAGCATTGTAATAATTCAGGGTCATCGCAATCGACTTGTTGCGAAATCGCAGACATACTGTGCACATCGTAATGCTTTTCTTTTATCGGAAATTTATCCGAAGGAAATAAACATTCGTCGTAACTCGAGAAAATAAGATGGTGTCCGATTCCTTTTCATCGTCTTCGATCTCGTGCCAGAGTCTCGAGTTATCGAAAAGAAGATTGCACAATCCAGGAACATTTCCGTTGGATGAGATTACTTACATATTATTTCTCAAAAAATTAAACGTGATTTAGCTAATCGGTAAAGATTCTTCTTTCATTATTGATTCATTTATTAACTATTTATTCGAATCGGATCACTTTGAGATTAAATGCAATGGTTTCATTTTCGTGCAAGATATTACGTGAAAAAATAGTATAACGTAAACGTAAAACTCATTTGAATTTTAATAATTCATTTGTTTCGATTAATGTTTATAGCGTTTTGTCAAGTTCGACGGTATATGCTCTTTAGTTTTTAAAAATTCGAATTGATTCGTATATTTGCATAGACGAAATGTTTTTCGATTTATGTACATCGAGCAATGACATTTTTTCATCGTTAACACAAATGAGATATTCCAATTTTTAACGAAAATTTGTGATCGAGAAAAAATGTCTCAAAATAAAATAATTATATAATAAATATATATAATAAGCGATGATTTCTTTTTCTTTATTTCTATCATTTAGATATCTTTCTCATTTACATAATTAATTCGTATAAAAAGATTTCGACTGATGGATTTGAAAGATTCGTCCCGTGCATATCTCAAAAATTTTTATACCTTTTATATACAAATATGTAATTTCGACTTTGAATCGGACACTATATAGTGTTGTTATTTGTTAATGTGAAACTTCCATTATATTGGAATTATACTTCTGTTTATTTATTCTGTTAAAATTTAAAAATTAGTAGGGAGCAAAAGATATATTTCGTATCAACCATCGTTGTCAATCATCGTCGAATAATGAATAGCAATTGTTAAGAAGACATCTTTGATCGTAATTAAACCGCGTTATTGCGATAGAAATAAAATTACGACTAGCCAGAGTGCAATCGATATTCAGGTCATGGCTTCCTCTAAAAATGGACGCTCGATTAAAAGCTTCATTTTCTTTTCCTCTTCTCTTTTTTTGGGGTCGCATATATATATATGTATATATATATACACACACATATATATATGTATATATGTGAAATAGTACGAAATTCTCTGTCAAATAGAATAACTAATGACCTTGATTCTTTGTCGTGTTACATACGCAAAGATCGCTTTCGCAAAATGAAATAATATAGTCAACGATTTCGTATAAGTTTCAAGGTATGCGGGTCTTAAGTATTCAATGAAGAAAAGCATTGATTTTATCAAGTAGAATGATCACTAAAGACATCGCGTAATACATTGTATTGTTTCGAAGAAAAATTTTCAAAGTTTTCTCCAGTTCGATTTGATTCGGATTTTTTTCTTAATGATCCACAAGTCCAGTCTTGTCAGATGTAGAAGCTAACGTAGAAGGGAATGAGATGAGTGGATCGACGTACACGAGGTGCATCTGAACACGAGGAAACTGAAACAGAGCAAGATAAAGAGAGCTAGAGGGAGAAGGGAGAGGTGAGAAAGAGAGTGCTAGTATACTATTGGTACAAGTAAAAACAGTGAGAGATAGAAAGAGGAAGAGAGAGAGGAGAATCAGACAGAGGGATTCAAGGTCGCCGGAGTCGGCTGTTTCCGTCGGAGTTCGGCGGCTAAAATTGTGCGTTGGCGCGGTTCTGCGGCCTTCGCGAACGTGGCCGCTTCTCTCACAGAAAAGTCAAGTTCAAGGCTAACCAGATATCGCGATACGCTTATTTCTTTCTTTTTCCATTCCATTTCTTCCTTCCGTTTGCATTTTGGTAAATTGAACGGGTTGTGGAGGGATGCGGAGAAAGTGAGAAAATTAAAAATATTGGACGACTCGGGAGCAATGGAAGCGAGTCGAGTCGAATAGATGCTTACGCCTTACGCAATCTCTTCTTTTCTCTGTCTTCTTAAACTTTCTTTTCGATTCGATCATATCTGTTTTATTCTTTCTCCTATCGTTTGGATATCATCATTTCTGACGAATTTGTGCTCGGGATTTGAGGGGAATTGTATCGTTATATCATTTCGTCATGCTCGTCATTATGTATCGTGGCCGAGTGTTCCGCGCACCGTGTCGGTTTTTATTTCATTAATCTAAACGTGGGAGACGTACACGTGAAGCACTTCGCACGACTAGTCAAGTTCGAGGTTAACCAGCTGCTTTGGTGCCTTGTCTTTTCTTTCCTTTTTTAATTCCTTGATATCGTTTTTCCTCTTTTTTTCCGTCTGCCCTCGATCGCCATACATTTCACAATTCTCGATGTTTATCGATTTCTACTATTGAAATAAACGGCTGGTTAAAATGGAGCACGATCAGAAAGAGTTTTTGACTAGAACGCGCGCGATCGAAATTCTAATAAAATCTATAATTCGCAATTTCGAGCGGTTTTCTTCGTTATTCCGTTCAGACGAATGGTTGTACGACAATTTACGAAGATTAAAAATTGAGCAAAAAATCGTTATAAAAAAAAAAATGGTTACGTTGCAATGATAAGGATACGCCTCTGAGAGACAGATCAGATGCCTGGATAGAGCATAAATCTCCAGACACGCGTCCTAAGTTCTTGCGAACGATCGTAACTGCATCTCGCAGAAAAGCCAAGTTCAAGGCTAACCAGATACTCTGCACTCCTTCTTCTTCCCCTCGATCCCCTTTCTGCGTGCATTTAATATACGATACCGAGGGCAGGAGGGCGACAGAGGAATAGGCTTACGCAATCCTTTCACCGTTACTTTATTCACTATCGCTCTGCTCAACGTTCTTTTAAGGATACCTTCCTTTTCAGTAACTTGTTCATGTATGACTACTTTTACTTTTTTTCATAAATTGCCGATTGTTGAATTATATATTTTCGTTCACGATATTGTTGCAAGAAAATCAAAGAATGTATGAAATGGATAAGAAAAAAAATTGAATAGTGAGAAGTAAGAGATAGCTGCATAATTATAGAATTAACGAAAAAAATTGTGAATTAATATTCCAAGAACATCGATGCTATGTATCGCGAATTTTCTGAAGTCAATTCTAAAAATGCTTGAGGCGTTGGTCGTGCTTAAAAATAGCAGCAGAAAAAAAGTGCAGCTGACTGCAAAGCAGACTGTCTCTTCTGCTTTTCGATATTTGCCACAATTTGTTTAAAAACGAATAACATCAAATTATGATGGCTTTATGGAAAATAACTAGAATATGTGAAATAATTACAAGATATTTTGTTGATTGTTTTAGGTTTGTATGATGCCCGGTGGCGGCACCGAAAATATGATTGGAAATAATAGGACTATGGCGAACATTAAACAAGAAATTGAAAATCCTACAACACCTACGCAAAATTATCAAGTTTGTTCACCGACCACTACACTTCAGCATCAAGAGGTATTTTGGACATTTGGTACTTTTTACGGTCAAAAACATTGTGATTCGTGAAAGTTGTCGAAAATGTAAAATAACTTGAAACAAATATATATTTTTACGATGAGAACGATATCGAGTGATTTTTTTTTTTTTTTTTGTTATATTTCAGGTGATTTGTAGTAAAATAGAAGTTCCGCCTGATTATGGTGGAGGCGAAGGTAGCCCTGGAAGTCCAGAAATGCACCATTGTTCGTCGACTACACAGCCTTTAGGAACACCTGAGGTATACTAGAATTTTTAAAAGTTATTTTTCAATTTTTAAATAAGATTCAATGAATCTTTTTATTTAGGAAGGTGTCAAAGAGGAAGATATGATACCTAGAAGGCTTTGCCTAGTCTGTGGCGACGTTGCAAGTGGGTTTCATTATGGAGTTGCATCTTGCGAAGCGTGTAAAGCTTTTTTCAAAAGAACCATACAAGGTAAGAAAAGTTCTTTCGTATTTACAAATATTTTTTTTCGAAGAATTTTCCAGGTAGCACCGTTAATAATTTATATTAATATTATTAATATAAATTTTTTTTGCTTCCTTGTTATTTTTTAATGTGAGAACATTTTAATTATTCATTTATTATTAGTATATATATATATATATATATTCATGATAATATTGGTGCTACCTGGATGAGAACCATGTATATTACAATAAAATAGCGAGTAATTTTACAGGTAATATTGAGTATACATGTCCCGCAAATGGGGAATGTGAAATAAATAAACGCAGGAGAAAAGCTTGTCAGGCATGTAGGTTTCAAAAGTGTCTTAGACAAGGCATGTTAAAAGAGGGAGTCCGATTGGATCGTGTTCGAGGAGGGAGACAAAAATATAGAAGATCCACCGATCCCTATACGCCAGTGAAACCAGCTCCCTTGGAAGGTGATTTCTTTAATAATCCTTGTTAGTATAAATATTCACGTTTCGATCACGATCGTATCATTATAAAACGCATAGTTCCGTATCATGATAGATACGATTAAACCTTTGATATTTTATTCTTTCTAGCGAACATAGCAACAGGAGCTTCTAACGAAATAATAAGTAAGCTATCGGGTCCTCCTTCCATTTTATTTTATTCGAGTCGGATACGTTGATTCATTGCTAAATTTTTTCATCTTGACACGAAATCATCATACATCTAATGTAGATGTTCACCGTATAGATGTTCAAAGATGGTAAATTTTTTAATTTATTGATAGATAATAAAATGCTGGAAGCTTTGGCTGCCTGTGAACCCGACATGCTGCAAGTATCAAATATCTCTCATACTCTTGATACAGATCAAAGAGTACTTGGACAATTATCTGATTTATATGATCGGGAATTAGTCGGAATAATTGGTAATGTATAATTTTTGTGCTAATAGAAAGTTATATTATAAAAATGATTAATTAATTTATTATTTAAAAATTATTCGTTTAAAGGTTGGGCAAAACAGATTCCAGGATTCAGCAGTTTAGCTTTAAACGATCAAATGCGGCTTCTGCAAAGTACGTGGGCTGAGATATTGACGTTTAGTCTCGCGTGGAGAAGCATGCCAAATAATGGTAGATTAAGGTTTGCACAAGATTTTACTCTAGACGAACGACTTGCCCGCGAATGTCATTGTACAGAGTTATATACGCATGTGAGTATCATTCGATCATTTGAATAATTTGATTCAATTTGAATAATTTGATTCATCATATATCTTGTTAACTTTTTAATATTTGTTAAATTTTTATATATATATTTGCATATATGTATTATTTTTTAACAGTGTATCCAAATAGTAGAAAGGCTTCAAAGATTGGGATTGACCAGAGAAGAATATTATGTGTTGAAGGCGTTGATATTAGCAAACAGTGACGCAAGATCAGACGAGCCACAGGCATTATACCGCTTTCGAGATTCTATCTTAAATTCATTATCAGACTGTATGGCCGCAGTAAGACCAGGACAAGCGCTTCGTGCCACTCAAAATATGTTCCTAGTGTTACCCAGTCTCAGGCAGGTTGATGGAATTGTTAGACGATTTTGGTCTAGTGTGTATCGAACGGGAAAAGTACCAATGAATAAGCTCTTTGTAGAAATGTTAGAAGCTGCTTATTATCGATGAAATATCAACTCGAACTCGATTTATTAATATCTATGTTGAGGACTTCATAGAATCGCTGTTATTAAATAACACTCGCACATTAAGAATGACTTAAAGGCACGCATTTTGTTGTGTTCCTAAGATATAAGCAGAAGACAGTGAGTGATAGTGAAATACGAAAAGAAACGGAGACTGTACAGTTTTATTCATTTTTCTGTAAGAGAAAGACTTATATATAAAAAAAAAAAGAAAAGGCTTTATTTTTCAAACACAAGAGTGTTGGAGCGTGGAGCGTTGGCCAGTGATTCCAGCAGTCGTTGAAACTCACGAAACACCTTAAGATAGCAGGCACATTGTTTCGTCGAAATAACCAAACTTTCCTTTTCGAGTACCCCATTTACAGGTACAAAGAAAAATACGATGTTATTTCAAGATAGGATACGTAGTACAAGATGCGAGATGCTTTTTCTGGAGCTCTCATTTTAGGATAGTTTACAAAAAACCTGTCGCCAGACAGAAGAACCTACCAAATAAATAAAATGTTTTCATTTACGTAAGATCGTAACACCGAACCGGTGAGATCATAGAAATCAAATGCAAATGTACTAACTGTGGGTGTTTGACGTTATAGGGTTAGAGCATCGTGTTACCAAATACTACCAGTTCAATCAAAATTATATGTAGCTCCGATTCGAATGTTATTTTATGTTATGTCTTTTCTCTAAAAAAAAAAAAAAAAAAAAAATCCAGTCAATTTGAAACTAGAGGAACGCAGACTCTATATTTTTAAGAGTGTTGATAAAAAAGATAATATCATTTTACATAGAATAACTGCACAGTTTTTAATACTATTAAATGTAAAGTGTAAAGATCGATAAATGTAAATCGATGTGTGTACTGCATTGAACATCCATAGTTATATAGTTCAGCAAATGAATTTAGTATGTGCTATTGTACAAATCGAACCAATTACGTGAACAGAGCTGTGAACAGTGAACAAGGAAAAGCAAAAGAATGGCTGGATCGTTCTCTAATTAGCGCCATGCTGTTTTCT